GAATAACCTATTGTCAACATAATTATGGAGTGTGATTTATTTTCAACTCAAAATATCTTCAAACTAACGAAATATAAAGTTATTAGTGATCCGTCTGGATAACAGCAGACTGACTGCTCATAAAATATACGACAGGTCTGGACCACTTGTGAATTTTGTTCATATCTGAAAAAAATCTTAGAATACGAACAAATTGGTGAATGCCACAAATTCTCCTAAATCACTCGTACGCACAACTTAAGAACAAATCTGTGCGTACGAACGGTTCTTGCATGAGGCTCAATGTTATAAAGGGAGCACGGATTAACAGGGAGTTCATTCCAGAGCCTGGGGGCCACAGAGGAGAAGGCACGGTCACCACGGGTCTTGAAGCGAGTGAGGAGATTTTGATCTTGTGAGCAGAGGTCTAGTCGTTTTTAAGCTCTTTGTTGTCTGTACAGACTACAACTTCTGCACTGGACTCAACTGTAGCTGCAGTTCAGCTTGACTGACATCTGGGGACTTGCTGACGTCACATATGGTAAATGGTAAATGGACTGAACTTATATAGCGCTTTATCAAGTCCCTCCGGACCCCAAAGCGCTTTACACTTACAGACATTCACACACTGATGATGGTAAGCTACACTGTAGCCACAGCTGCCCTGGGGCACACTGACAGAGGAAGCTATCTTTAGTAACTTTGACCGACACTATTAGCTGTAGCAGCTATCTTGAAGCGAGTTGACTCCTAAATTTAATCTCTAATGATGACCTTCTGAGAGTAAAATATTTTGTTGTCACTGCAGACAAGCACATGCAGACACTGACACAGTCAATAATAATGTGAGAAAGACAAAAACCATACACAACCACAGGAAGTTTCAACATTTTCTCACAGATATCTGAAATATTGTGTCGAGGAGGATAAATCATCATAATTTCTCCCTCCCTCCCGCTGTATGTCACTCATAGGTCCGTACATGAACAACAACCGTAGCTGTTCACACACCGTAGTCGGCGGAGCAAAATCTGTTTTTCTCTTTCTTTTGAAACCACAATGATGAAAAGAAGATGTGGAGGTCAGTTGAATATCATGTTAGTGTTCAGGTAAGTCCATCCTACAACCGGCGTGTATTCAGTGACACATGAGGAGTTGAAAGCTCGCGCTGCTGTGCCTCGGCAGCAACAAACATGCCTACAACTAGATACTGCATAGCTGTGGCATACAGTATATGATCCCCGCACACACGCAAAGCCACAATGCACCAAAACTCTGGTCTCTTTTACTACTAAATTTCATGCTGCTGGGTGCATCCCAAAATTTTACCGTTTTGGGAGGGATCGGGGGTAGGACGGTGCTACTTGGTGGGCCTCATGGATAACCCTTTATCAAAGCTAAACAAAACATACAAACACATACAAAAAACAAAACAAACAAACAAAAAAAAACAAACTAAAAAAGTCTGAAGCTTCTATGTTGAACAGTTTTTGTGTTATAAGCATTTTTGTAAGTCCAGACACCCCCATTTCAGATGGAGCCCCCTCCTCAAATATGGGGTCTATTGTAAAACTGCTGGCTGGCACAGTGAAAGTCGAACACATCTACATTCCTACCAAATTTCACAATGATCGGTGCAACTGTGTTCAAAAACATGAGGTTACACCGCAAAGGCTGAAAAATCCTGAAGTCTGTCTGAAATTAGTGGTGGTAATATATGCAAGAATTATATTTTTTAAGCTTTTTGAGCTCAAAAAATGAGGGTCGAATTATACTCGAAGTGCATTATTCTAGAATAAATAGGGTACATTATCATCTGCTACCAAAATGTTGGTTTTAGCAAACAAGTTGGAGAAGAGGCAAAAAATGAACAAGTCATATCACTGTATAAACTACTCTTTAAATATTTTTTTTTACCTTTTGTAATATACAACTGAAAAACAGTCAGCAAATTAACCAGTTTTTCTAAATATAAAGGGGTGACAAAAGCCCTGAGTACACCTTAACCACTGCCATTTAAACATTTTATATAAAACGTCAAGCCTATTTGTATTCCATCGGCCTGTCAGACAACAAACTGAAATAAAAAAAAGAAAAGGAGGTGTAGCAGATGACAACATAAAACAACTTACGAAGGGCAGCCTGTTAATCCGACAGGATGTCAAAACCATAGTCGTACGAACAGAACGTTATTAGATAATTACACTGATTACAACAGTCAGCTACCTTCTTGTAAACGAGCAGCTTGTAAAACTGACAAAAATATGTTCGAAGCAGTGATGGTGCAGATCAAACTGTCCTGCAGCCTGTCAAACTAAGGAAGTGTAAGAAAAGAAAGCCCAGAATCATACTGCTGTTTCAGCTCGTCTCAACCATACGTGCTGAAAGGTCAGAGAAGATGTTTTCTTACCACTATCTTGAGCACAGAGCTGAAAATCTTGGTGTCTTCTGTGACGCCACCGATATAGAGTTTCCTGGAGAAGACGGGAGGGTTGTCATTCTCGTCCTCCACATTAATGTACACTTTGGCTGTGTTGGCTGCAAAAAGTAGACAGTATCAGGATGAGTGCGAAGCGCTTAGGAGGACATTCAGCCACAAAAGCAAATCTAGTTTTCTTTCCACTTGCTTTATGTTAAACCAACAAAAAACAGCACATGATTTGGACTTGGATATGTCAAATGAGCATAACTTTTGTACTCATCAGCTTGTTTACATTTTTAAAAAAAGAAAAAAGAAAGCTTGAAGTTGCTCCCAAAAATACTTAATTTCTTTATGCAAATAGTCTCTAATAAAGAAGGGTGCTTTGCTTAGTTCTGAAATATTTTGTTTATCCATTTTATAACTGAGGCAGCAGATTCACCAAGCTTCTGCAGCTCTTAAAAAATCAAGAGTGAATCTTTGTTCATGTTTAAGTATTTTCCAGCTCCGCCACAATAACCCTTTGAAGTTCATTTTCAACTTGCAAGCAAAAAAGAGAAAGATAAAGATTTTCTCATACTCATAAAAGAGTGTCGCAGTCTATTTGGGTGAAGTTGACAAATTAGTGCCAATAATGAGGATGTTTACTTTGTTTGGATTTCATTAAATATTAAACAGGCAGGAAAAACGAATTGAGACGTATGTTTCTGACTTTCCTCACTGCTCCAAAAGCAGATCGGGAAAACAGCTTGATCAGTTTGCACTTTATTTACCAATTCTTCACAGAAATAATATTTACTTACAGACTGAGCATATTATATTTCTGATAAATTATACAATAATGAAATCTGTTTCTCCAAATAATTACTTTTTAGTGAGTTCTAAATTGCATCATTAATGGTGATGGGGTTGGTTTCTCAACAGCCTGAGGCTTGACAACAAACAGTGTAACATGCAACTATTTTGAACAAAGAATAATTAAAAGAACGGTTAAAGAATCAGAAGAAAAACAGAGGAAATACCACAGAATACAGGCATCTTAAGACTGCAAGCACGAACGTGTAGGCTGTAGTGAAGTTTACAGTTCAAACACAACCAATTGAAGTCTGCTTCTGACTGTGGTGGTTGTGAAGAAACCAATACCAAGTAGCAGCAGTGTTTGAAGTATTGTGGTAAAACATTGCTGTACATAGAGTCAAGTGGTCAACAGTTTTTTAATATGTTGGTTTCATAGTAAAATTGTTTGGACAACTAACAATATTTTCTAAGAATAAATTGCTGATTTTTTTAAAAATTAAAACCAAATGTGGACCCTATCTTGAACATCTGAGAGTCACAACTATGTTTTGTGAATTTACAAAAACAAAGGTGACTTGTTCCATTTTGAGTGGCAGTTTTTTTTTCTAGACACCCCTTCCGAGGGACATTTCATAATGAAAAAGTATCTGTAGTTGTAAAAGAATAAAAATAATGGAAAGGGTGCATAAGAATTTGTTTGAATAAATAGGTTTAATTGTGTCAAGAAAAAGAAAAACAACTTGTCATAATTTCAAAAATTGGAATGTCTGAATTGTATATTCTGATTTATTTATGTGTTTATTTTTTGTTTGCTTCAGACCTTTAGTTGTCATATTTATTAAACAAGAGTACCAATGTTATACATGCTCTTGAGCATGACATATATTAAGCTACTGCACTACACACACATACACATATATACGCAAACATTTTAAAAATGTGGCCCCTTCCATCATTTAAGTTGCCCATTCATGGTATTACTGTTTTTTTTCTCTAGTGTAAAAAAAGTTTCAATGCAAAGCTTGCTGCAGGCCTGGCAGGTAGTTTTACATGCCATACATGGGCATATTGGCCAACATCTTATGTCAAATTAATTTCTTGTTTATCTTTACTGCACTGAACTGTTTTAACCACCCCACTTTGTGACTTGGGAACAAGGATGATGGATATGGGTAAGATTAAGGGGAACACAGTAAATGAGATTCAGCCTAAAACTTTAACGCAACTTTATGTAAAACTTAAATATTCATTGTGTCCTTTTAAGAGAAAAAAAACACAATATGCATACAATTTAAGAAGGAATCTTTTATCCAAAATCTGTCACCGTTTCACTTATGCTGTATAATGCACACATGTGTACTGTGTAAAACCCTTCCAACACTGTAGTTTAGGTAAACACAATGTCAAATACCATTTTATTTTCTTTTGGCAGGATGCAAAAATGCTCATTTCTGTGGCACTGACACTGAAAATGCTGCAGTAGCAATTGGGCAAACCAAATGCAGCACGTCAAATTACATCCACAATAGCTTAGTGTGAAGCACATGGAGAGGACTCAAGGGGATAAGAATGAGGTCTGCTACTGTTTTTTCCCCTTCCCTCTCTTTGTAAAAGTAGCCATTTTCCCTCAAGACATAAATACATAAATACAGTCTATCCCCTATTCTACTCCACATCCTCTCACACACTCATAGACATGCATATAAAAAAATCCATTAGTAAGGTGTATGGGGGGAGAAATTTTGAAGTTCTTCAAAGAATGCACTACCTTTCAGAAAACATATTCTTTCTTGGTTATGTATGCTATCTTATTCTAGAATGTAATGCATATATATATATATATATATATA